CTCTTTTTCTAAACTCTCACTTTTATTTTTCTCTTCCTCTCCTTCACACTCATTTTTTTCTCCTTATCCTATTTTTCTTGTAAAACTTCTTTCTCTACAGCCAGATTGTCACCAATCCCTTCTCTTATGACCTTACCACTCCTTGTAGTTATTGACTTACAATGCTGCTTTGGATTTATTTGTGTGTTAGCAGAAAATTGTCCTTCTTGCTGCTCAGATAGTTGTTTAGCCAATTGGCCCATCTGGGTCTCTAAATTTCTAAATGAAGCATCAGTATTTTTTTGGCTAAACAAAGTAGCTTGCATGAATTTTTCTGAAGTGTCCTCCAATTTTCTCATTCTGTCATGCACTGGAGGATAATGTTATTGTTGATGTTGATATGAAGGTTGCTGATATGACTGTTGTTGATATAGAGATGGTCTATTGGATGGACTAGCACCTTGTTTCCACCCAAAGTTCTGATTCTGATTCCCTCTCCATCCTTGTGAAAAATTATTCTGATAGTTGTTGGAACTAGGGAAATTATCTTGTCTCCCTTGACCACTACTACCTTGAGCACTCATATAATTAGATTCTTCTTGTTGTAGGTTGCCTTGGTAAGAGCAATGTCCATTTGGATGATCACCTCCACAAAAATCACAACTCATTTGTTGGTTAGGAGTGGATTATACTGCATGCATTTGTTGAGGGATTTCCTCTATTTTCTGGTTCAATGCTTTAATATGTTGGATTATAAGTTTATTCTAGGCTAAGAGAGCATCTGAGGTGCTAAGTTCAAATACTCCTTTCCTCTGAACTGGATGTCTATCATGTTGGACCCATTGGTCTGTAGAGGCTAGTGCATCAATAATTCTTGTGGCATGTTCGATGTCTACATCCAGCATGGATTCTCCTGTTGCAGCATCTAATAGCATCTTTGTATCAGGTCGCAGGCCAGTATAGAAAATATTAAACTGAGCAATGTCTTCAAATCCATGATTTGGGCATCTTCTTAACATAAATTTCTCCCATGCTTCACAAAAAGGTTCATCTGCTCCTTGTCTAAAAGTAGAGATGTCGAATTTTGCCTTGATGTAGCGGGATGGTGAAAAAAATCTGTTCAGAAACTTCTCTTCTACATTACCCCAGTTAGTCAAACTTAGATTAGGATGTGTCTTCAGCCACTCCTTTGCCCTGCCAGCCAAAGAAAAAAGAAAAAATCTCAAGTATGCAGATTCAATATCTGCTTCTCTAAATCCCATAGTACCAATCAACTCATAAAAAGTAGACAAGTGAATGTAGGGATCTTCGTGATCCATTCCAATGAATTGATGAACACTAATCAAGCTTGAGAAAGCTGGCTTCATCTCCAATGTTTGGTTGGTTGGTATTGCAATGCTGGAGAAGGGTCTCAGACCTTGCTGCATAACATAGTCTCTGAGTGTTCTTCTAGGTGGGATTTGGTTTTGATTCTGGTTTTGGTTTGCTCCTTCACCCGCCATGTCTTCTATGATTGGATATAGTAAGTTGAGTGTAGGAGAAGGGTTAACAGATTCTCCTGTTGCTTGTTCTTGAGTTTCTCTTCTTCTTCTACCTCGGTTTCTACGAGTAACATTTTCAATATCAAGATCAAATTCTAACTAATCTATAGGAACCTGTCCTCTTAAAGGCATAAATCAAAAGAGCAACTCAAGCAACGATTAACACAGGACAACAAATAAGCAAAAGAAAACTAAAAGAAAATAAAAAGAAAAACTAAAAGAAAATATTCACAATACTTAATAAACTAAATAAAAAATTCCCAAGGAACGTCGTTCCCCGACAACGGTGCCAGAAATACTTGTTGAATTATTGGCAAGCATACCAAAATTATCAATCGCAGTATTGTATTTTGATTAAATAAAAGTCGATCCCACGAGGAACGGTGTCAATGGAAATTTCCAATTATATGCTTACTAACTGGATTAAAACAAAATGGGTTTTGCATAAAGAGTTGAATTGAAATTAAATGATAAAGAACTGTAAATTGTTTAGAAAAGATCAATTAAAGGCACTTAGGACTGACTTCCTTCCTTTTCCCTCTTTTGCAATGACTATGTCCAATTAAGAACATCAATTAACCTAACAATGTTGATGCCACCTACTCAAATCATCCATGTTGATTTCTCACACAAGAAATTCATAAGAAAACCTAATAAATGTTGATTTCGCACACAATTAAGAGATTTTCCAGCATTAAGTTTAGGGTGTTAAGCAATTGATACATTTATTCCATTCCTGAGAATTAACGTAACAAATATTTTTACCATGATCTAGGGTTCAAGATATATTTTTCAACATATCCCAAACATCAAGAATAAACATTCAAAAGTATAAAAGATAAGAATAACAACATGAAAAACATAGATTAATATCTCAAAATATCACTAAGATACAAAAGAGTTCAAAGGAAGTGCACCCAATCCCAAGAGAATGAAGTTAGCCACTCATGGTGGCCATTACAATGCTCCAAATGAGAAAGAAGTGAAGAATTGATGAAGATTGGACGAAACCCTAGTAGTAGTCGCGCCTCTTCTCCCAAAAAATCCTCCCTTTATCAAAACACATCTTATCTTTTTATAGGAGAATTTGGGTCTCGCGTCTTTCGCTCAAGCGAAAATGTTCGCTCAAGTGAAAGTTCAGTATTTTCGCTCAAGCGAAAAAGTGCTCGCTTGAGCGAGTGAGTTCCAGAGAAGTTTAACTAATTTTTGCTCAAGCGAAAATAATGGCACTTGAGCGAATGAACTCCAGAGAGTTTTAACTAACTTTCGCTCAAGCGAGAATCTACTTCGCTTGAACGACTTCCATGTTGAAAATATTCTTCCTCCATTCAGTTTTTGCTTCAATTATGTTGACAATTATGCTCCTTGCTCTTGTATCAAGGTATTCTCGAATTCATCCTACATTGGGAGAAAAATATATTAGAATTAACATAAGTTAAGTGATTTTATAACAATTAAAAGCATAATTATATCTACTTTTACCACTTAACACAAAAAACACAATTGTATATATTTTTTCACTTGGTAATGGAGTGTTCTAATGGAACTTTAAGAAACAAGATGTAGTTTTTCAATCCTCAGTTGAAATAAAGTACATTGTTGCAGCAGTTGCTTCAAATCAATCTTTGTGGATCAAAAAAGTCTTGAGAGATCACATGCAGGAGGAAGCTACTATCTTATGGCGTGACAACAAGTCAACCATAGCTATTGCTAAAAATCCAATTCAACATGGAAGAACCAAACATATCAATGTTAAATTTCATGCTATAAGAGAAGTTGAGAAGAATGGAGATGTTCAAGTACTACATTGTAGGTCTAAGGAGCTAAATGCTGACATTTTAACCAAAACACTTCCATGTACTAAGTTTAATGTGCTAAGAAGTAAGATGAGAGTCTTCAAGAAATGTTTTAAGGAGGTGTGTTAAATGAATGAGCAGGATTTTTTTTTTTTTTTTATTGTTGTTATTATGTTTACTTATTTCAATTAGTTTGCTTGTGTCAATAGTTAGGGATGACAAAACGGGTCAGGCTCGGCGGGCCAACCCTCCATCTCGTCATAATATGGTGGGGTGGGTTAGTGTTTTTAGCCCGTCAGCCCGCTCTGGCCCGCCTCGCTAAGCCTGTCAACCCGTCGGGCCAACCCGCAGGACGGAGCGGGCCGACCGCGACCCACCTAATTAATAAAAAAATAATTTTTTATTGTAATCAAGTTAATTATAAAGATAATATATAAAGTTAAAAATTTTAAAAAGAGAATTAAAAAAGTTTCACTCTCACGTGAAAATATTCTCCTTACCGAAACACAAGTTTCTCTCTCTTGTTTTCCTTGTTCATCCTAAGTACTCGATTATTCTTTTCCTTATGACTTGAATTAAAGGTGTAAGAATTACTTAAGCGAGAACAATGTGAAGTTTTATCAAATAAAAAAAGATATAGATATTTGAATTTTTCAATATAAAAAATATAAATTTTATAAGTTTTAATGTTATATGTATATATATATTGTTAATATTTATTATTATGTAAATATATATATATATATATATATATTGAATTATTGACAAACAAATAATAATCTTATTATTAACTTTATTAAAAATTTTGATTTAAAAAAATAATTTTTTTTTTAATTATAACGAGTCAGCCTACCCTTAGCGTAACGGCCAAAACGGGGCGGAGTAGCCTGTTTTGCCATCCCTACCAATAGTATAGTCAGTCACGAATTTACCCCCGATTTTGGACAGATTTGTAGTCTAAATGTGGTAGGTACAAGCTATTTTGTTGGAAGCAAGTATGCCTATAATGATATGCTTTCATTTCTATGTATTTATAGTTCAGTAAGTGAAATGCAATACGGTGAAGCAGCAAATACGAAAATAGCTTTGTTTTCCCTTACCTCTCATCTCTTTTCATATTATGGTTCTGTTTTATGTTTTTATGGTTAAAACTGTCTACATTTAACAGAAAGGATGCTTTGTAAAGTTAACCTGTCAACCATTAAAGAGTTATCAGAAGATAAAAGATATAATTGATATTTTTCATTTGTGATAATACGTAAGGGCGAGCACACATATATAATCTAAAAGATGTCAAAATTTAATAATGGTCTTACAGGCCTGGCTTTAGAGAATTAAATTAAAATCTAACATTAAAGTAATATTCTAATATCCTAATACTATCCATAAATCCTTTAACCATTTAGCTTTCAAGGTATTTTTGACCCTTCCTAGGCCCACAACATTATTGATAGGCCCACAAGAACCTTGTTCTCAAGGTTCTGAAATAAATCTGGATCGTTACAGATGGATATGGACAGGATTTGAGAGGTATATGATATGCATGCAAATTTAGGTGGCAGAAGAGTAACTGGAGGTGGAGTTTGGAATCTGGTGGCCACATTTTGTTCAGAAGTGATATGCATGGATTGGTTATGCCATTGAATAACTTCCCCATCAGATTTAATGTTCCACAGAGTTAATACTAGAACTGTATTTCCGCTGTCAGTACTGGAGGATCATAACCTTCATCCCTCATTTTTGCATCTAACTGTCTCAGCATTTCATATATCTGGTCAGATTCACCAAGAAATCTATCACCAGCTTTGAAACTGTGAACTTGATTCTTTATCTCAACCATACTTTGACCAACAATCTTCTTCCACCTATTTTCCTTTATCAGTGTCCTGAGTTTTGCTGCATCATGCCAATTCTTGTCCACGCAATATATATTTGACAAGAGTATATAATAACCTGCATGATTAGGGTCTAAGGGGAAAAGATTCTGAGCTGCAAGCTCCCCCATCTTTATATTTTGATGTATACGACATGCACCAAGTAAGGCTCCCCATACATGATGCCCAGCTTGCGTGGGCATGTCATTAATCAAGTCCAAAGCCTTATCCAACTCTCCCATTCGACCAAGAAGATCAACCATTATCCCGTAATGTTCAGAACTGGGCATCAATTGGTACTCATTCACCATGACATGAAACATCTTTATCCCATCTTCAATCAAACCTGCATGACTACAGGCAGATAGAATTGAAACGAAGGTTACATCGTTAGGCTGAACATCTGAATGATTAACCATCTGGTAAAATAATTTCAATGCCTCTTCTCCTTGCCCATGGAATCCGTAAGCTGAAATTATTGAGGTCCAGGTAACAACATCTTTATGTGTCAATCCTTGGAAAACCTTGTTAGCCTTACCTATGCTACCACATTTTGCGTACAACTCTATAAATGACGCTCCAATAAATTCATTATTTTCAAATCCACTTTTAGTCACAAAAGCATGAAGACATACAGCTTGTTGAAGAATTCCTAATTCTGAACTAGCAGCAAGAATCTTCACAACAGCAATAGCATCAGGTCTTGTCCCATTAGATAGCATGTTGCAGAAAACCTGCAGGGACTTGTGTGCCATTCCAATTTCAGCATAGCCACTAAATAAAACAGCCCAAGAAACTACATCCTTCTTGGGCATTCTGTTGAAAAGGTCAATTGCTTTTCCAGGGGAAAAACACTTCATGTACATGTCAATAAGAGCAGTAGAGACAGTGATATCCAACTCAAAACCATAATTGAATGCTAATTTATGAATATGCGTACCTTCTTCCAAATTTGAACTGGAAGCACAAGCTCGCAAGGCACTAACCACGGTAACCTTATTGGGTTCCATTCTCTTCTCTATCATTTCGTTGAAAAGATCTAATGCCTTGGTTTCAGCTTCATTATCAGCATAACATGCAACCATTGAGCTCCATGATATAATATCCTTGTTCGACATTTGGCCGAACAAATTGGCTGCACTCTTGATGGAACCGATTTTTCCGTACATATTTAGCATAGAATTGACCAAACATACCCTAGTGTCAAAACCCTTTCGTATTACAAATCCATGTACACTTCTTCCAAGGTTAAAATTATATAACTTAGCACAGGCAGAAGCGGCACTAACAAGTGTTACTGGATCAGGACTTACTTGCTCCAACACACCCATTCGGGAGAAAAAAGAAAGTGCAAGTTCAGGACTTCCACTCTGCTCGTACCCAGTAATTATTGAAGTCCATAAAACCACATCTGGTTTTGGGTACTCCGTAAACACTTTCACAGCATCATTCATTTGTCCACACTTCGAATACAACTCAATGAGAGCAGACCCTACAAACATGTCATTATCTATCTTCCCCTTCTTGAGAAATCCATGAATCATTTTCCCTCGCTCAAGCTTCCGTAAGGCAGCACATGATTTTAAAGCAATAGACAGTGTGTAATTGTCAGGTCTTTCCTCAATTGACACTGCATCGGCACTCATTTGATGGAACAGAGATAGCGTCTCTATCCATTTTCCCTCCAAAATATAGTTCCTAAGCAAAGCATTCCATAGATAGACAGTTTTACAAGGTGTTTCTTCAAACAGCTTATGGGCATGACAAAGTGATGCATATCTAGCATAATGCACGTTAAGCTTGGTAACAATGAAACTATCATGGGCAAGACCCACTTTCAAACACTGTGAGTGCAACTGTGTAGTTGATATCTTACTGCAGCAAGTCTCCAATAGCTTGACTAAAAGCTCCCTCCTTTTCATGTACAATAACCGATGACTTTTATACGCTTTAAAGATAATTTATATAGCTTCTGAGTATCGAGTTCTCAATCATATTCAGCAAGGATGGTTGGATTCAGATAACATGCATTCATGGATTATTGATTTTGATTAATATTTCATTATTCACAACCTACTACTTTTATGCCGCAGACACATGCAATTTTATCGTTTTGAATAAGGGAAGTTGGCTATTTATTTTATTCCTTTTTTTTATATATTATACTTTTTAATTTATATTATAATTTTATTTTAATAAATCCATATTATAGTTCGAGAAATTGATAATAATATTTTATTTCTATTATCTTCGTAATGGTTTTTATGTTTAACTTTTTATTTTAACCAAAACACTAATTAATTTAAAATATACATATATAACACTACTCAAACGTATATTATTTTTAAAAAGTTTTTTATTTAATTAAAAATATTTTAAAGATATTTTAAGATATAAAATAAGGTTATTACTTAATAAATATAGCAATTAATACTAAAAAATATAATTAAAATAATTCATCTACAAATAAAAACATAACAAGAGTTTAAAAATAATTTTAAAAAACAAAGTTATAACATCTTCAAGTGTATCTTTTAAACAAGATATCGTCGTTAAAATTAAATAACTATAAAATAGCCAAAAGTAAATAAAATTAAACATTGAACACAATATATACTAAGTTTTTATCACAATAGTTAACAGATAATACTCCTGAAAGTAAATGAATTTAAACAAATGAAATGAATTATTTTTACCTAAGAATCAATAATACCTGTATTAACTACAATTCTTATCCAAGTAATTACATGCATACCTATTACACCAAAATAAGAAATAAACTACAATATTATTTTTAAAATTTATAAATACAATAATTATACCTCTATTAAATAATTAACATCAAGATGAATGAATAGAAAATTCCTTATTCTATCTCTTCCACTTAAAATATTATTTTGAGAAAATAAAGACAAGTATTAGTTAATATACATTTATATTTTTAAAACTTAATGGAAAAGGATAAAATTACCCTTGTAATAGGTTTTTAATTTCTTTGTTAGGTTTTTTGGTGCAACAAAAAAAATCACACTATGATGTAATATTGGGAATGATTAGTGACGGAACTTCTTGATAAGTGAAGGGAATTATGACCCCCATTACATTAGAATTTATGATATTAGTTTTTCCAAACTTAATGATTGTTAAATATTTACAAATTTGACTTCTAATTCTTTTATATTCTTTTATTTTTTGATATTAATTTATTATTTATTAATAATATATTATTTGATCCCCTCAAGATCAATGATTAAGATCCATCACTAGAAACAATTATAATTAACTCGTCAATGAGACCTATATTTATGACTGGATAAATTAGTTATAAAATTAACATAATTAAGAAAAATTAAAAAATAACCTTTCAATGTATGAAATCAAGTATATATATTTTTGAGTCACTCATCCATGTTTGTTTATATTATTGGATATTTGTGTTCTCCAAATTTTTAGATGGATTGAGACTCAACAAATTCATATAGTTCGATTTTGCTTACTCCACACTCAATTTGTCCATGTATGTAACACAATGGATTATAAGTTAAATTTAATTATTATAATGTCAAACACAAAAATGAAAATATAACTTACATGACCCACATTTGTATGATAAAAATGTTTAATATGCAGTTTCCCTTAACAAACTATAATGTATTAAGCAGAGAAATGTATAGTGGAACAACATAATCTTTGACTCCAAAAATTCTATTGACCCACTATATTTGAGTAAGTTTTTTTTCTCAATTGTGATAATATGGTCAGAAGCATAAAAATGGGATCATCGTTATGTCATATCCTTATAATAATAGGTTTTATCATAACTAAAAAAAATGATAAAGTTAGATAAATATTGATAAAAGTAGAAGAATACAGAGAGAGAAGTAACAATACATATACTACCTTTGTTGTGCTAACAGTGACATCACCAAACATCTTAGTCAAGAAAAGAATGTGTCACTTGTCTACTCTACTAGTTGAACCTCTGTATTGAGCAGGGCACTAGAGCAACAATAACTTGAACTTCAAATAAAAAACGCATGGACAATAATATGCTCATTTAATAGGTTTTCCATTTTCATGAGCAAATTGAAAAAACTTCTCAACTTTCTTTTCGTACTCTTCACTAATGTGGCGTGTATTCATCCAACTCTAGTCCATAACTACCTCGATTACACATTTCATTAGAGTTGTCAAAATGGGCGGCCCAACCCAACCTAACGTGATCCTACATGCCAAGTAAAAATTTGTTTTTGGAACTTGACCTATATTTTTAAATGGGCCATAAATTTTAGCTAACTTGATCCTATGTTAGACAAACAGGCTAATGAGCCAATGTTGACCTAATTAATTTTTTTTAATTGTTAATGTGTCCGTATAAAAAGTTAATTAAAAAAATGTTTAAATTAAAATTAAAAATATCTTTTAAAATTTTAAATTATATTAATAAATTAATTTTTATTTTAAATATAATGATATAATATAAAAATTATAAGATAAGAGATCAATTTTCTATCAAAATAAAAGTTAAAAAATTACTCTTCATTATCGTCATTCAATTTTTTTTCGTGATTTATTAATATAAAATAATAATTCATTTTAATCATTAGATCATGAAATAAGTGGATGTTAGAAACTTTCTCTTATATTTACTCTTATCGAGTAAATGAATCCTTTATCAAATTAATTTATAACACACACACACACACACACACACACACACATATATATATATATATATATATATATATATATATATATATATATATATATATATATATATTAAGATAAAATAATATTACATTTATTTTTATTTAATTTTTTTATTATTATATAAAATGGATCAGACCATGATCTAAACAGGTTAGACCGAAATAAACTTGATTCAATTTAGACCACAAATTTTTTAGCCTAACCTGACCTATTTTTGGGCCTTTCCTGTTGACTCATAGGGCTAAGTTTATTTTGACACCCATAAATTTTATCATCATATGTAATGTGATTCTCACTTTTGTAATTAAAGGTGGGTCCTATCCATTTAGGAAAACATTTTTTTTTAAGTCAGTCTGATGAGAAACAATTGATGTAATAAGCTCATTATGCACTAACGATATTACTTATGTGTAATTTAGAAAGTTTATGGATTAAGTAATTTGGATTGCTAGTTTGTAGCTTCTAGATGATAATATTTGTATTATTTTTGGATTGCTCGATTGGTAACTTTTATTAAACAAGTTGTGTTATTCCAAATATTTATGGATTAATCTTTTGTCATATTTTATCTACCCCAAGTTGGAGGTAAGAGAGTTGATGGTGAAAAATAAAATATGTAGATGAAAAAAAGATGAATGTATTACATTACACGAAGAAAAAAATAGTAAAATAAAAAATCAACTCTTTTGAATGACTTTTATAAAGTTAATATTTTCATAGTAGGAAAAAAAAGTATATGTAAGTATTATAAATATAAATTTTATTGCATTAAGTCATCTACAGAGATATGCACCCAAGTTCTTAGAAAGAAGGTTGCAGATGATTAAAGAAAAGAAGTTCGCTATCATCTTGTAAGACTTTAAATCTATATAACCCAATTTTAATTATTAGAATTAGGTACTCTAATGAAAAAATCAGAAAAATAATTGTTATTGTTGTAATGGTTCATGAGTTACCTTTCACTATAATTGGAATGAAGTTTTGATGTAGACATTCAAATTTGAAAATTATGAATTTCACAAAGTTGGAAAATAGTGAGAAGTGGTTGTGTAACCATATATGAGATAAAGTTTAAAAAAGTGAAAACCTTGTTGAAACTATTAACAAGATTAACTTAATAACCAACATGTAAATCGAGTCAACAAGTTATGAAATATGTTGTTATGGTCTTTTATTCATGGAGGAGTTTTGAGTTTGTTGAAGGTTCTTTATCATAGGTGACGAATTGACCTAGTTTATGTGCTTTTCAAATGATTAATGATATGGTGATTGAAAATAACTTCATTTTTTCTATGTCTATTGTAAGTTTTATGTTTCAGGGATGGACATGTGACTTGGAAATAAATAAATAATAAAAGGCTAAATGGTAAACTGGTAAAATAAGAACCGTTTTTTTTATGATAACAGTTATTTAATGGGAATAATCACTAGTACAGAAATCACTTTTAACATCGGGTTTTCCACAAGAACCGATGTAGAAAGTGAATTCAAGACTTTCAACATCGGTTCCCGGATGAACCGATGTAGAAAGTGTTTTTATAAAATTAAGAAAATTGTTACTAGCAGAATTCGAACCCAATACCTTGAAGTCGGAGGCGATACTCCAACCACTAAGCTACTAAGATTTTCTCGATAATAACATATACATAAATTATATTTATATACAAATAAAAATGTATATCCATGTAAATATATAAATATAAAATATATAACTACAAATATAAATATATTTATATATTTATATGTTGGATGTGAGAGCGCGCTCGAGAGTAAAAGTGTGTGTCAAGTGGGTTTTCAAAATTTGATGTCAAATTTGTGAGCAAGTTTCTTTATATGAATTTGTAATTTAATGATAGAATATAATCTTTATAATTTATTTATAATAATATAGAATATAATCTTTATAATTAATTTATATAATGATATAAAATAAAGAAAAAAAAATATTTTATATCATTATATAAATAAATTATAAAGATTATATTTTGTCATTAAGTTATAATCCATATAAAGAGACCCGCTCACAAATTTGACATCAAATTTTAAAAATTCACTCGACACACACTTTCATCCTCGAGCGCGTCCTCACATCCAACATATAAATATATAAATATATTTGTATTTGTATTTATATATTTTATATTTATATATTTACATGGATATACATTTTTATTTGTATATAAATATAATTTATGTATAAGTTATTATCGAG